CGCAAAGACACCTGAATTCACCACACCGCATCGACGTAATAGAATCATCAGTAGATCGTTAAGCCACCAAAATAACACAAGACAGGGATATGTGAACTCAGTTGCATCCTTTTCTCCTGTTTGCTCCCTAAGAACAAACGAAACCGCATAGACCAGTAAAATATGAACGTTTATTAGAATTTCCGTTTTATATTAACTTTCGATGTTCGCCTTCGTGAGTTTTGAATAAATATATCAAAGAAAATCAGCATGGCTACAATGCTTAGGCGCCACCACGTGTATCCATAAAGCTGCCCTTTGCTGTGCCGATGTATGAGCAAGCGATCCGATGCCCCAGGAAATTCCGGAAAACGTGTTTAACCAGTTACTTTGGATCAAAAGATAATGCGAAGGCACTCGTCTTAAACGCGGCCCAATCTTCGTGTGCTATGATGCAAGCACGGTTAAGGCCAGAGGAATGCCAGATATTTTGGCAATAACTGTGTCGGCAGCGTAATTACAAATCCGGTTCATCTCTACGCTTGCAGCAGTCACGCACGCAGCGCGTCGCAAAATAAATCGCACAACTTTTTCAGTGGCTCCAGTTGACGCCCGATGCGGCTGCACAGTACGCACTGCCGATAGAAGAGCCCACAGGTGAATCACCCCTCCGTGGACGCCGACGTTATTCGACGCAGAAATGCACGCTCAAAATCGAGACGGCCGAGCAACGCCCGATTTATACGAAATCGCCAGTCGCCTTTTGAGAAACAAGGCCACATATCGTGCTCAGTGTGACTGTCAAGACATTGGGGCATTCCCAGCGCTTTGTTGTCGCATGACGATGTGATAACCACCGCGAGAATGTAATCTTTAGTCTCAGCTCAGCTTAAACGTCGGGTCCATCAGTCACATCTTCATTTTATTTTTCATTCTTTTTCTTGAAACAAATCAACTAAAATTGTCCAAACAGACTATAAAACACACACACACACACACATACACGCATATATATATATATATATATATATATATATATATATATATATATATATATATATATATATATATATATATATATATATATATATATATATATATATCCAGTTTTATTTTTTCGCTATGTTATTACCAGATATTTATGTTGTGTACACTAATTTCCCGTCTACAGGATCAAAAAGTTCACCACTGTGTTCAATGCTCAAAGCCTGTTCTCAAAGCCTCGTATGCAGTTGCCCGCGTTCTGCTGCAAAGGTGGAGACTGATGCGAGGTTACCCCGAGCACTTCGTCTCTATCCACGCTATCTTCATGAAACTGTTACCACGTGAACGAGCACAAAAGACCTGGGATCCTGGTATCAGCGCTGTCACCTTGACCCACGACAACAATCGTATCATTACGTGCTGTCAATACAGTTTTTTATATGGAGCACCACTTGTTCCTCCATGCGAGACGTAAGAGATGGAGGAGATATGGTCGGAGAGCGTACCTCGCTACATCATACACGCTCGTCTCTCCTCACCCCAGCCGACCCGGCTCGACAGCCGGACCCAGGTGCATGCACCCGCAGCATCCAGGCAATGGACGCGTCGTGTGGCGAGTGAGAAAGGAAAAAAAAAAAACCACAAAGAACGCCACAAGCTTTTCTTATCTGTGCGAGTTAAGGCGATGGATCGTAAACGTTTTCAGGGATCCATTCAGTTTCAAAGCTGTGAATTATGACGTGAAACATCGGTGCTTCGCTTCCCGAACTCTATAGGATGAAACACGGTCGCCTGCCTCAAAAGCTTTTCTTGTAGATAACTCTTCAACACGCACTCGAGATGTAACGTCAAGTATTTATGTGGATCCAGCGGCGTCACCTTATCACTCCTTAGAAACAGCTTAGACTTATCTTGAGCGCTTCACAAGTGACACATTTACAACGCAATACTAGTATGAAAAAAAAAAAGGTATCCAGGTGTGCCACCAAATTAGGTTAATTTGAATCGTCGTCATATAGAGACAGAACTGCCTCCCAGTAATAGGGTAACCTACTCCTGTGGTAATGCGTATACCACACGGCACTTCGTGAACGTGAGCGGCAGAACGTGAGCAGTGAACGGGGGAACGCATTCGGCTGCCCACTGACGTCCCTCTTTCTCCAGTAAAAGCTGAAACTAAATAATGGCTCTCTGTCGCCACTCAATAGTGTCATGACGCAGTACTTCCCTTCCCCGATCCAAGATGATGACACCACCTCCCCGCAACCAAGATCACCGTGAAAGGCAGAAAGACAGATATAAGGCACGTTTGTGAAGCATCATGCGAGAGCGTCGGTAGCACAGTGGGTAGAGCGCCGGGCACCTATAGTCGCAGACCGAGAGGGCGTGAGTTAGACTTTCAAGTCATCCAAATCAACGAAACCATTGCTTCTGTTTTTTCTTTGTTGTCGGTTTGCGTGGACTTCACCGAAGTCACATCCGTAATGGTAATGATGCGAGTGAAATACAGCAACTTGTAAAGTAATGTCTGGACGGGAAGACCCCTTTATCTCTGAAGATGCCCTCCACCTTTCTTTTTCTTTATTAATCGGATGTAAAGAAATGTTCGCACACGAATAAGTAAGTTTTAAGTGGGTAGTGAATCAAATCATGTTAGGTGAGTTGCCACGAATAGCAAAACAGGCAACAAAGCCTAATAAGCGACGAAGTGCACATAATGAATGATGTTAAAATAAAGACGAATGCCAATTGCTCGCATAATACCCATCGATGCCGCTGTCGAAAAGGTCCAAAAGCTCCTCCATACTGAATGGTCTAATGTCACGAGTTTCACGGTGAGTCGGCGTCTTGGCGTGTCCCATGCTGAGAACGGTCTAGAAGACGGTGGTGTATACCTTCGTCTACAAGTCCACAGTCACATTCGATAGCTGCGGTCCAGCCAAATCTATCTCCACGTTATCTGATTCCTTGGAAAGTTTTGAAAAAATCATGTGCTTAAGCATTTACGGAGGAACCTGTTGCTTGCATTTCATGGCATCTCATTCTGCCATATACTGTGTCCTTTCTAACATTGACGGAAACGCTCTGTTCACCACTGACCCTTTTGTGGCGCTGCAGGCGAGACAAGGGTACAAGGAATCTACCAGCGTATGCAAAATAGTTTCAATATATTATTCACGTTCGTATAGAGTGCGTGCGGCTGAATAATTGTCCCGATGAAAATGTAAACCAGCACGAGATGACAGACGTAACGCGTAGGAGCTAAGAAACATACAACGGTCAAATTTCTTTGTCCTGTTCAGGGGCCAATCCAATGACAAGAGACTCTGATTCTAATCCACAGCGGCTGCATAACGATGAAGATGCAGGAGATATGACTGCGCGACATGCGGAAGTTGAATCCTGTTATATTTGGAAGCTGTCGAAAATGTTGCCGCAAAGCCGGTTTCATGGGAATTTTCGAAGTGGCGAGCGGAAGTGTTTCTCCTGCTAGCTGCTTTGAACTATTCACGTATCATAGCCCCATGTATGAATACAACGCACAAGGACAGAATCTACACGGAACTCACGTCCGTCCTTTACCAATTCCGCGAAAATTGCTAGTTTGCGACCGCCCATTGTTTATTTAATGTCATCCGTACTCTGTGGTAAGGGTTGGGTATAAATGAAAGACAGGGAAAGAGATGAACACAGAAGTTGGCCATAGATAATCGCGCTTCAAGTGTTTTTATTTTTGCATATAGCTATTCAGGTGATATTGTCCCGCGCGCGCGCGTCTTCTAATCAGGTTGCAAAATACGGGCCTGCATTTCTACAAGAGCAAATGGTGCAGCTTGACAACAAGAGATATGACTCTGAAGTATATGCGCTCGTATCGTATGGTATCGAGAACCCTCCCCACTCTAAACACAAGGCGATGCAACTTCGCGGCATGTTGCCATGTTTCGCCGAATCTGTCCCATATTTAAGAGCTACACGGATAAAAGGGCTAGACGATGGACAAACAATTATATCGTGACGTCCGAATCAGCCTTATCGCCCACCCCTTCTCATCCAGCGCCTCTTTCATTCTACGGCTTCTCTTTCTTCCCTTCTCATTTTTTGGCACCCATGCAGGCGAACTTCCGCAGCTAGTAAAACGAAGACGGCTCATCCTTATCTCGTTCTTGCGCGAGCAAACCCGCACGCTGATGGCCGCCTATGCAGATCTCGGTAACACACTTGATTAGGCTGAATGGAAAGTTTATGTTGTCCGCGCACACGTGTTATCTGAATGAGCACACCTGTGCGTGCGCGTGTATGGAGGTAAGAGGCCGCAGCGTAATCTCGTCCTGCCCTTGAGGGAACGCCTGGCGACAGCGCGGCAAGACACCCCCGGCAAACGGCGAGAGATCAACTGCGAACTGTGACAGAATTTTCAAGCCACCTAAAAAAAAAACGACATCTCTGATTTAGATAGTGTGTAGATATAGAGCAGCCTGGCCACAAACCAATACTTTTGAAATTCGAGTGGAGGTGTCTTGGAGAGCACGCAAAAATATACACTTTTCGTGCCAAAAACTGAAGAAAAAACTTCAACCAGAAACGGTCGGACAGTGAAACCATAAGCGACCGAAGGGATTGTCTCAATTATTGTACCTAATTAATGTAATTCATCAAAGCGTGACTCATATTCCTGGTGTTTGGCAAGGAAAGTCAGCATTATCATAATTTTTATTATCATTTCGCAAAGACTGATGATTAGCATTATTTAATTTATTTCTTTATTCACTCACTCTCTGGTCACGTGATCTACTACGACCACCACCACCACTACTACTGCTACTACTACTATCTGTAGTAGTAGTAGTAGTAGTAGTAGTAGTCGCAGTAGTATAATAGTGACCACTGCCCGGAAGCAATGGCGAGCACGGACCGTTGAGAAGCAGCGTGCAGTATTTGAGCGCGACGACCGAGAGCGAATTAACAGCAATGACCGCTGGCCTCTGCAGGGCCTGGTGTGAGCCGCGAGAGAGTTAACTGGTCGTCAAACTTACTGAAAGAATTTCCCGGGGTGGCGGTCACTTTCTTGCCCTTGATATGGATGTTGCCACGGCTGCACCGGTTGTAGAGAACGTACTCGATCCGGATGGAGCTGCCTTTGTCGTAAGAGCGCAGTTTTTTGAGATTGTTGGTCAAGTTGAAATCCTGGCACTTCACCTGAAACAGGAAAAAAAAAAAGAAGATGCGTGACGCGCGCTGCAGCATCGCCGACAGAAGAAAGGAGAGTGGACACGTTAATACAGCTACTAGAGTTAACAGTTCCTCAGCTCATGTTATTTAAGTATGAATATATTAGTTTGACTTTATTGGCCGTTGTCGGTTTAAATTTGTCGGCTGTGCTTTGCCAGTGGTACTTTTGCGAACGTGTAAGCCAAGAACGTCTGCGTGCAAGCAGAGTCGTCACTAATCGCTCCGTTTATACAACGCATCGTATGATTGAGTATGAACAATGTGCAATGTCACAAAGCCGTTTGAATCCGAACGGTCAAAGTTTTAGACAAATTCGTATAAACGAGCGCATGCACAATCACTGAGGCACGTTGCTGCAATTTCATGAACCAATGTTTTCTTCTGCCCACACACGCAAGAAATGCACAAGCTTATAAGCTCGTCTTAAGCATGACTAGGGCTTCTGTTCCCATAATTCGGCACGTATCTAATCTTGCGCTGCTTATTATTGCAATTGTTATGAAAGATTTTCAGCAAATAGTTAATCCAGTTCTTCAAAATGGTGCAGCACAGAGTAGAAGAGATTTCACGTTACTTTTAACGACTCATTTTTTCATGCGGTGGATATGGGAAATTGTGCAATCGCTCATATAAGCTCCTTGATAGGTACAAAAAAAAACGTTTGAGTAAATTGCTATAAGGCACGCGTTGCACTTGCAGGGTTACATTGTATCTGCGATCGACGTGTCATTGCATTGCGAAACTAATATCGCATTGCGTAAGATACTGGACGCACTATATCTACTGCGAGGTCCATTCGAGGTCCTGAATACCTTTTTTTTTATGCCGCACAGTGCTTATGAGGATATGTGCGAAAATAATGCGATTAAGGCCACTAACTTCGCGAAGAATTTGTGTGGGGGTCCTGAATATAGCGCGTGCTAAAGGCACCTACATAAACCTAGTCGACTGAATAAATTCGATTGATTGATATGTGGGGTTTAACGACCCAAAACCACCATACGATTATGACAGACGCCGTAGTGGAGGGCTCCGGAAATTTCTACCACCTGGGGTTCTTTAACGTGCTCCCAAATCTGAGCACACGGGCTTACAACATTTGCGCTTCCATCGGAAAGGCAGCCGTCACAGCCAGGATTCGATTCCGCGACCTGCGGGTCAACAGCCGAGTACCTTAGCCACTAGACCACCGCGGTGGGGCGCGACTTATTAAATTCTGTAATCACCTCGAATGCTGACGCGAAGGTCGCGTGATGCGATTTCGGTCGCAGTGGCAGCATTTTCAATGCATGCGAAAGTGCTTGAGGGCCGTTTACTTGTATTTAGATGCGCGTAGTCACATGCGGTGGAAATTTCCAGAATCCTCCGCAACTGCGTTTCTCATAATCATATCGTGGTCTTAGCACGTGAAACCTAAACAATTCATTAAACTGTGTAACTACACCCCTTGACCATGTGCGAATCATTAAATCTCACTGGACAAATGTTATGTGATCATTCATGCACGCTCTACAATGAATTGAGGGCGTTGGTATACTGGCTTGCATGGATAATACATTGCCGAATGAAACCCTCTCCCCCATTCCCGATTCACCATCCTGCACACATACGCACATACGCAGCAAGAAAATAATAATGCTATTTTTCACGTTTCCTGCACTACTATAAAGACTTCCTTAGTACCCTCTGAAGCGCTCGCTGTGAGAGTAACTGTATCAAATGCTGTCAGCACTACAACCACGCAAGCGGAGACCATTAGGACAACGATTGGGGAAAGAGCAAGGTTTTCTCACGAACGCTATGCTTATATATGTGCCGTTGTATGTCCTCATTTTTTCCCTTTTCTTAGTGCTCGGCAGCCAACCAGATATTTTGCTCTTGTTAGCCTCTTCACCTGTATTGTTCGAAATATATCTTCATTTCTCGAATCTTGCCTTATAAAGAAGAAATAAAACTACAATGACGATAAAGGATGACAGTTGATAGCAATTCTGCATCTTATATAAAAGTACATAGGCCAGAAAGTGCTCTAATTACCGTAGAGAATGTGCTTGAGAGCTCAAGCGCTCGAAATCAGTAGAACAGAGCTTAGGAAAACTCAATTTAACGCGAACATGTCGCCGGTGTAGCGCATACCTGCACCAAAATAGGTGCACACATACGTATGTGGCGTCTTTGGACTTTTTTTCAGGAATAAATCGTTGCCTAGTTTCTCTTTTTTTTTTCGATTCTTGTAACCTTATCACAACGGGCTGACACGGTTTAAGCCCACGTGCGTCGTCACGCAAGCTATTATTAAACAGCTCATCGCGTTGGCTCAAATTGACGCCAGCGCCCCCACCCATCTCCGCAGCCTCTCTCCGGTAGTGAAGACCGGGGGCCGCCGAGCGAGAAGGTGCACGCTCGGCGCCTCGGGCTGACTGCGGTCGCGCGGCTGGTGGTGTGCGGTGGACGTCCGGCGGCGGATGCGTCGGCCGCGGTGGGACGCGCGGCGTTCTGCGCGAAATGTTGGCCGAATTTGTCAGCTCGTCACGTCACGTCATGAGCGGGATCCAGCGAGAAGACAGGTCGAGTCCGGAATCAATCACGGCGCCTGCTTTCGACGCCCCCGAATTTTTCCCGCGCCGCAGCCGGCAATCCGGAGCGCCTCTGATGGACGGCGTTGGGCCGCTTCTCTTGCTCTCGCCAAAGCATGCGTGGGGTGGCTGGGAGCCGATTGGCCCCCGGGCAAGATTCCGCGGCTGACAGCGGCCGGCCGAAGGCGACCCGCGGCCACGAAAAGGTTGATTAACTGTGCCGTGTACGGACCCGCCCAGTGACGAGACGCCGCCGCCACCACGGAGCTCCCGACCGAGCGCCCGAAAAGAAGTGACGCGCCGCCTTGGCCCAGTCGCTCTCCCCGGCTTCGGCCATTCACGGGATGAGACTCGGGACCCACCGAGGAAGGTGTCGAAAGCTCCTGCAGGAAGCGAGTCACTCGAAATATACACCGGCAAAGTCCCTCAAGACCAAACTAATATGAGTTCGTGTAGTGGTCTCTGCTCTATTTGTGTCGAAACAGGTGTGTTAGCCAGGCGCGAAAAAACGATTGGCACGTATACACAAGCATAAACGAGTGCCCCTGGTTTGGAGTGAATTAATTTGGCTCGTGTGCACATATCGCCTTTGCGGAGGACGCGGACAATATAATTCGAAGTGTGCGTATGCGGCGGCGATGTCTGTTCACGCGAGTGTGTATTCGCGGCACGCAGCGCAGTGGCCTTAGGGCGCCTTATCAATTTTCAGCGCAGATGCCGAGAGCTTAGGCTTATTACCCTGCTTTACGTGTCGTTGCAATTGGACTTTTCTCTTTTTCTTCGTTTTTTTTTTGCTACACGAAGTGTATGGCGATGCTAGCGGGTATTATTCTGCAGGCTTAGAAGCAGCTTCTTGCGGAAAGCGACTTAATGCCTTCGGTGAGGCACTACAGAAACTAAAGAGAATTTTCGCACTATTTTGCTGCAGAATTTCGACGCAGGACATTAAGCAATGAAACTCGCAACAGGATAAGCGTTGCCTGAAAGTCCGGCGAGCCACTGGGGCGTAAGGAAAAAAAGGAAGTAAAGGGCAAACACTTCGTACCTCGTGAAATGTGTTGCATAACACAAGGAGTGTGGGTGCAAAGCCCGGTCAGGAGATTCTGGCCGTTTCGCAACGGGGCTATTTGCATAAACAGCGGCCGGTCTGTCTTTATTTTTTTCCCCTTCCTACTCATACGTTGAACTTTATTTTACGACAACATATGTCTTCCTGAGAGATGTACGAAAAAAGTTCTAGTGAAGAGAGAGGGAGAGAGAGCTTCAGCAGATGTAGCACATGCTCGAAAACTCTAGTTAGCATACACTTCAAATCTCCCACTCTCCATCCTTGCGATAGCCCTTCGGCATGGCATGTTGAATTGGATAAAGAAAGATGACAGCGTCAGCTGAGAGCGAGCCGCCAAAGAGGCCCACGGAGATTTCCTACCACAGGTCCCTACCGGACTGTCGAAATTAGGCGCCTTTTTCTTCTTCTTTTACTTACAACCATCACCACCACCACCACCACCACTACAATCTTTAGGACGGGTACCGGTGGCCTGACCTCCCACCATCCTTCTGCCCTACTTGAAATCAAGAAACAGGTGGCATAGCTTGTAAGACCGCGGAATTTAAAGATCAGCAAATAGCAGATAATCCCCAGCCGATTTAATGAAAGCTCATAAAGAGCAACAGGAAACTCGTCGTGTCAGTGGAAGCGTGTAACCGTAAGCGCTTTCAACGGGTATGTATATATATATATATATATATATATATATATATATATATATATATATATATATATATATATATATATATATATATATATATATATATTATATATATATATATATATATATATATATATATATATGACTTGGTTCATCAGTAAAGGATGCTCGCTATAGAAGCAGTGCTACAAGGGGTAAGCCGCGCGATATATAGCGTTGGGAACAGACAACGTTGCGTTGTCATATGTTGAATTGAAGTTGGCAGGGGCTAATGCGACGCGCGAGCTTTGTGGAACTCTAACGTGCTCCAGGTAGGGACAACAGGCACGATGCTATCATAGCTGTCCGCAACTTGCCCACCATTCAAACAGCAAAGATCAATACAGAGCCGTTCAACGCCATGAACTAGTTCAAATAAGTTCGAAATAAAGAATTGACTTTACACGTCAAAAACTAAGGTCTCTGCGTGCAGAAACAAGGTCACGACCTCTATAAATGCAAGCCTTCCTCCTTCCTGCACCCCCCCCCCCCCCCCTCTGTAAACTCGTCCATTTGTCGTGTTTCATGTTTCCCTAAGGTGCACCATTGTAAAAAAAAAAAAAAAAAGAGTCCCACAAGCCATGTATGCAGAGCCTTCGCGAACACGCATCGCCCACATTCATTCGAAATGTGCCGCACA